ACCAGAGTTCCCATGTGTGATATCCATTCCTCAACAGCAGCAGACCTGGGAATTTGGAAGGAGTGTGTAGGTTTTACCACCAGAGCTCAGGAACTCATGTATTTCTTTATGCAGTAGCTACAACATCCAGTGTTCCCTGGAGAACAACTTCACCACCAGGAGAGAAGTTACTACAGTCAAACCTTCCTTTAAATCATCCTTTTGAAATTCTTGCAGGTGGACATCCAGGCTGTGCTGGAGCAAGGGGAAGGGGCAGGAGAGTTGGGAAAGGACATCCCTTGGGCCCCTCATGCTGGAGCTACCAGAGGACTAACACATGCAGAGCAAAGTAGCTCAGAGCACCTCAGCACTGTGAGCAAACCTGGATTTGGCCATGCCATGGATGAGGCACCAAGACCTGGAGTGGATATTGCTGTTGCTGACAAAAGAAAAGATGAAGAAGAGTTAAACAGGTGTCCCCCAAAGAGTCAGTTTGCCACGTGAGACACGTGACTGCTCCCCCCAGCCAACATCAAGCTGTTTTCCAGCCCTGAGGCAGCACAGGCAGCAGCTGCAGCTGCTCTGCCACCCCAGCACCTTCCTGCCCTCACCTGCTTTGCCTACGCCTACCACTCTCCAAAGATAGAGCAGCTCCTCTGCTCAACACCCCAGTGATGCAGCTCTGCAGCACAAGGTGCTCTCAGAATCATACAGAATCACTGAGGTGGGAAAAGACCTCCAAGATGATCAAGTCCAACCTGGGACCCATCACCACCTTATCAGCTAGACCAGAGCACTGAGTGCCACCTCCAGTTGTTCCTTCAACATCTCCAGGGATGTGTTTTTACTGAACACCTCCAGCCACCCAAGCACCACAGTCACCTGACACTAGTCTGATGGGCCACATAAAAATAACCAGTCACACCACAGAGGTCAGGGACCAGTAAATCCACAGCTTCTCTCTTTTTCTGAACCACACTATAGCAAAACCACTTCAGCTGACATAACATCCAACATCTCAACCAGTTCCTGATCAGCAGCCACGCTGGCTGTTTTTATAGCCTACAAATAAAACTGAGAGAAAAGGAAATATTTTGGTTTGAAAGCCTTGGAATTTTCAATGCTAATATAAAGGTAACTTATGGCATAGCTCCCAGCTGCAAACAGTAATGTGAACAGTGAGGAGAGAGGGAGAGCAGCCTGGTAATTCATTCACACTCACCAAGGCACAGGAGGTTTCTACAATGACCTCCACACTTGGTATTTGAATTTTAACTGGTCATATATTTACACCTCTCATGCACTGTGCACTATTAACAAGGCAATTCCCCCCTGAACAGGCTCTGTGCAAGCAAACAAGAACATGGATCTATTTGAACTGAAAAATAGAGTTTCCTCAAGGCTAAGCTCTGCCAGCTTTAAAATGCAAGTTTCTATTTATGCAGGTTAGCAGCTCTTGAGAGGAAGTTGGAGTATTTTTGCCTGTTAGACCTTTTGTGGATGGTTCAAAGACTTTTGCAGCAAGAGGATGATTTTCATTGCATTTTGTCAAATTGAGTGTTTTAAATACCAAGAAAAAATTCACAGAAATCAAGGCATTTTTGGCTGTATGAAATACTCAACTCTTCATCCTTACCTTCCTTTAGAATGAAACCGACAGGGAACATCTCTTAATTTGCTTAATCATGTGTGAGGAAAAAGATGTTTACAGAAGAGAAACAAATAATTCTGTGTGTTTCACATTCAGGAAGGTTGGTTAGGAAGTTAGACCAGTGCCAATCCATTCCCCAGAGAGCACACAAAAGCAGAGCTTGGGGCAGGTTATATTTCACAGCAACCTGTTGTTTCACTACCTCTGTTAACTCTCTTTCTCTCTGCACATCTGTAAGCAAGAGGGAAACACTCCAAAAGGCAAGAGAGACAAAAAAAGGCACTTTCCAGCTTATAAGAACTGTCAGAATTATTTGTCACAAGTCTGTCTGGCTCACTTAGGGTTTGACAGCCACACGTTAGCTTGGTATTTTTACTTGCAAACAAGACTTGAGTAACAGATCCTGACCTTTCTCAGTTTGTGTCTGTGGGGCTTTTCTCTCAGCATGACACAAGTTTTGTAATGTTCATTCTTGGGTTTGTTTTGCCTTTTTTTGTTGCCTTAAAAAGAATAGAAATTTGTCATATTATCCAGCAAAACGTCACTAAGCCAGTCTGGGCTGCATTGCCTAATAGAATGTGACTGGGGTAACCAGCAGAATATTTTCATACAAGATTGGATAAGAAAACCTAGACAGAAATTAAATGCTTCTATTCTAAAGCACTCCCATTAAGGAAACTCATGAGATTGTGTTCATAATGCATTCATTTACCTGCCAGGTTCAAGCAGCTTGTTTAACACAGATTAAATTGTCATCACCCACCCAAAATTCAGTGTAGCCATGCAAGAGATTTGAAAGCAAAAGCAACTTTCACAATTGAAGGAAGAGTGTGGAGTTCCACACATTCCCTGCAATGAGAGGTGAGGAGGTTATGTTCTTGGCCTAGATATGGCATAAAATGTGCTGAAGGGTGAGACAAGAGATTTCTGGCTTGTTCTTGGGCAGCTGCCAGCACAGCACTGTGATGGCCCTGCCAGACCCTCCTGCCACTCTGTTCACCCAGCACAGTCTCACAGGAGGCCCTGAAAAGGACCTCCCAGAAGGTTTTGCATATAGTCTCCATGCTGTGGAAATCATAGATTCATCAAGGCTGGAAGAGATCTTCAAGATCATCAAGTCCAACCATCCACCAGCACTACCAGTGACCTCTAAACCACCAAACTATATCACCCAGTGCCAGATCCAGATGCCTCTTCAACACCTCTAAGGATGGTGATTCCACCACCTCCCTGGACAACATACTCCAATGCCTTCTCACCCTAAAATTTTATTGTAATAACTTCAGAAAGGTCCTCAGACATTTCTGAGTCTCAATCAAGAATGAGTTAAGCCATTCACAGCTGATTGAGCAAGGCATGCAGGACATGGGTAACTGCTCAAGGATAAGACAGATCACTCTTCCTCCATCTCTTCTTCTGATTCTCCTCCTCTAATACACACTGGCTCACACCTCCCAGTCAACCACAGGACTCCTATACAGTCATTTGAGATCCCTAAGCTTCTTCAGGAAGCAATTCATCACCTGTAGACCTGGTCTTGTTGTCTGACAACACTTTCCCTGCACTACCTACAGAGGAATTCTCCAAAGGAATGTGGAGAAGAGAAGGTTGTGTGGAGACCTCAGAGCACCTTCCAGGAGCTGAAGGGACTCCAGGGAAGCTGCAGAGGGATCTGTGTTAGGAGCTGCAGGGACAGGACAAGGAGTAATGGGGAGAAATGAAAACAAGGGAAATTGAGATTAGATCTTAGGCAGAAGTTTTCCCTGTGAGGGTGGTGAGACACTGTCCCAGGTTGCCCAGGGAGGCTGTGGCTGCCCCAACCCTGGCAGTATTCAAAGGTTGGATGATCCTTGAGCAACCTGCTCTGGTGGGAGGTGTCCCTGCCCAGGGCAGGGGGTTGAGGCAGGATCACCTATGATGCTACAAATCTGAGCTATGTGGCTTGTGCTCAGCTTATTCTCCTCCCTGAACCATAACAACATGACACAATGCAGTGCATAAACACTGCTGGAATGTGAGCACAGCCACAATGGAGATGCAGAGTGAGAAACGTGGCTGTCAGTCAGCTCTGCCCACGACCACAACCATCCCCAACACTCAGTGAGACATTATTGCAGGTTCATTTAGGAGCAGATCACAGCTCATATGCTCTCAGCTCTCTCATTTCCTGTGACAACAAAACCAAACCATGCAGAAATCCTGTTCCCTGTACAAATGAGGAGCAATTTTTATTCAAGTCTAGCCAAGCTTTTTGCTGTTAAGCATTCCTTACACTTGTCCTTATTAAACATTAACAGTGTTCAATATCCTCAGCTGCTCACTGCAAGGAGCAAGAGACACAGTAGCTCCTGGCTGTGCAGGACCCAGGGGGGAAGGATGGACTGAGAGGAATTTCTGCCTCATCCTCTGTGCTCCACAGTGGCATCTCCCTCCTGGCACTGCTCCAAAGGGCTCAACCCAAGAGGAAAGGGCCAAGTAATGACTACATGTTCCTCTACAAAAATTCCTGGGCATAAAACCTGTCTGATGTTGCCCCCACAAACAGAAATATCCTGGTTTAACATCCAAGTCTGACACCTTTTATCCTGCACACGGTCATGTTATCATGCATTTTGAAGTCTGTTTTTTTCTTTTAATACAGCTTTAAATAAGAGAAGATTTGGGGTTCTATCCAGA